CTTTGGTTGCTGCTGGAGCAGAACTGAACTTGCCTGTGCAGGCAGGCTGCCAGGACTTGCCCGCTCGGGTGCTTCAGTGCAGCGGAAACCTGGCTGAGTAAAATGGTTCAGCTCTCATTCTTCATGGACTTGTTTTCCGTTACCTTGGAAAATACTTTGCAGTTGTGCAAATCAAGAGGAAAATACCTACCTTAAGGACAGAAGGATTTGCATGCAGGCAGATATACAGAAAAGTATGGGGAATTTAGCTCTCATGGTACTAACTGATAAATATTCAGTAACTCAGCATTCATACGCATTTTCTTGCTTAATACGCTGCTAATGAAATACTGTGGTTTTGAAATACAACCTAGGTAGTAGGAGAGGCATTTGTGTGTGTCTCTGTGTGTGTGACACAGATGACCGTCTCTTGTATTAAAGATATTGGAAAATCCTCAAACTCTGTAATGTTTTTGATATCCAGAGTGTTACATACCTAACATGGGCCTCATCTTTAACTTCAGGATCATTCTAGGGAGGAACCATACTGCCACCCTCTGTGGTCCTTCAGCGAAGTATCTGAGATATCTGTAGTAGACTTGGATGGTGTGAGTTTGAGTCACAGCTTCATGGAAGCAGCAACCAGCACTTTCTTCTGCCTTTCCCTCCATCTCATCCGTATGTCCTTCCTTCCCTGAAAAAGGGGCCAAGCAGGCAGCAGCAGCACTAAGCGTGGCTGTGGAAAAAGAGATGTTTGACTGTTGTCCTCAGTCTTCTCAGCTGGGAGATAGTAGGCAGCTAACTGGAAGCATCATGTAAGTCTGGGTTCAGCTTGCGGGCCTTGGTGGAGTATCTTCTCTGGCTTCAGGGGCAATCAGAAGCCATTGCAATGTATGGCAGCAAGTTTAACAACCCCTGGCATTTGAAAACAAAAGGGGCCCCCCAAAACAGTAGTGTTTCTTTTTGGTAGGTCTGTTTAGAAAACAACATCATACCCATTTACTCAATTTGCATGTCTGAAAGGCTTCTGTTCAGTTAATTGGTTAAATTAATTTCTGCTGTTGTAAATGGAGAGCTGTATTAAGAGCAGAACTAAAGTAATTTTACTTTACGTTATTCTGTGTCATGGCACATCATTTCTTTCTTACTCAAGGCAATTCATTTTGTGGTGCTGCCAAATAATATTTTGTGTCATCTTCAGTCAATGTAGCTTTTACGATTTTCGCTGATATTTTAACAGTTTATTTAGTCCTCTAGATAATGGTCAATGGCCTTGAGTAGTCAAATTAACACCTCAGCAGCACTATATTTGAGCAAACTGCTAACGGTAACCTCAGGATGAAAAGCAATGAGAATCAATATAGCGAGCATATTTTTAGGGATTATTGATTGATTGATGCGTTCTGGCCTTAACTGGAAGAGGCAGCATTGCCCCACAGCTGACTAAGATTAAGTTGCCAGTTACTGATAACTGCAGGCTGTTACCTGCATGGTATTTCATGAGCTTGGAGATTAGATGGAGACCTTTTATAGTCCTTAGCTGAAGAAACCGTGGTGTTCGCAGGGTCTGTAATGCCGACCTGGCTGCAGGAAAACACTACGCTCTTCTCCGGCTCATACCAGCCATTGCCGTGAGAACTGGAGACAACGCTGATTTGATTCAGCGCTGCCTGTTATTCCTGGAGGGATCTATTTGGGACAACTGAGGCACTAATGGCTTGTCTCCCCCCCGCCCCGGCCTCCGAAGGCAGCTCCACAGAAGGTGGGAGCCATGTTAAGCTGTGCTGCTGTCAGCAAGCTGAGAGCTGTGGGTCTCCCTGCCACAACTCTCAATTGCTAGCAGGTTTCTCTCATTGCACCTCATTTGCATCTGGGACATCAATTAGCATGTTTGTTGAGGCTAATTGAATGAAACTCAATCATAGCTCTTAATTGCTTGACTATGTGAAAAGAAATCACATTAATGCAGCTAATTAAGTGTATGGCAATAGATGCAACATAATTAGGAGCGAAATGTAAAAAACAAGCGATGGTGAAGGTGCAAGCGCAGGGGTGTGGGGGACTGGGGCGCTGGCTTCTCCTGTTATCCACACGTTTCGGGAGGGTTCCCTTTCCTTTGCCGCTTGCTTTTTTTTTTTTTTTTTCCTTTCTGCATTGCTGAATGATGAACATGGACAAGTTGAGAAGAAAAATGCAAATGGATTTGCAATTACTACTTTTTCAAGCTGTTGAGGGGCAGAAGATGGCACTTCTGGGGTGGCCCGCTGTTGAGTGGGCTCTAGGGACTTGTTAAGTGCTGTTTAAAAGTACTTGGCTTTGAATTACCCTCATGCCTTGTTAAAGGGTTTTTTCCCCTTTTTTCTTGGATCAGCATTTTCTACAACTAACATCTAGGGGAGTTATATCTGTAACATTTGCATATCAAAATCAGGCTTGCTGTCTTCTCTTTAACACAGCATATTCCAGATGACAGCAAGACCCTCATCTGTTCTAATCCGATCAAACCCTCCATTGCGCTTCTGAAGCCGCGACATTAGTTTGTAGTTTTAACTTTTATTCCCCAAGTGCAGATCTGAAGGAGTGTGTGTGGGGGTGGATGCTCCGCTAACTGGAAACTTGGTGCTTGCCTCTCGTCCCGGGGGAAATGCAGAGATTATCGCTATGCATCTTGCGCACAATGAAAGAGTCTTTATTATTTACATTTGATATATCCCTATAAATATTTAAGCTGACATTAATACCTATGTGGCATCTGTTGTGTTTGGGCACTTTCGTATAATAACGGTATGGCTACAGCGCATTTATTTCCTGTTTGCCAACATTCAGTTACTCTCTCAAATGGTTTATAGCTCACCTACGTCTGGTTTACTCTCAATTAAAAGGGCTTTAATAATGCCCTGTCACATCTCACAAGTTGGCAGGGTAGCAGGGAAATCGTACACGCTATTCATCTGAAGAATTTGGAATAAACACTTCCTTCTCAAATTTAAATGGCGTACACTGGTTGTTGTACGTTAAATAAAATGTGTCTATTAAAAAGAGTACATGCTGAGGTTTAGTCACTATCTGATTAAGCCTCATTTTAGAGCCCATAAGCAATAAATGCTCAATTATGTTCTGCTTATTGTATTTTAATTTGTGAATAACTGACACTGAACAAGAAAGTTATGCCAACTTGATAATTTATGGATGAAACCGTTTCGTTCATTTCTGTCTAACACCTAGTGAATGAATTTTTATTAATGGGTTGCCTTTGTTTCTTTCGGCAGCAGAGCTCTGTGTCCTCTCCCCACGAATTGTTCAGACCCCCCCCTTTTTACTGTTAATAATTCTCAAACAGCTGAGGGGAAAAAAAGCTGGTGTGATAGCTTAGTTTTGGGGGTTTTATCACAGATTAATGTTAGCTGTGAAGAAATGAATGCTGATCCAGTAGCAGATTGATTTGTTTTGAGTGGAATATATAATTTGTATTGTAAAAACTGTCAAAGGCGGAAGGATTTTTGTGAACAAGCTGATTGCTCCCTGTATTGTGGCAGCAGTGATGTAGATCTCAGGTACGCTTTTAGTCCATTCAGGTATTTGCTTGTAAAATTGATGCTCTGATGGTGTACTGCAGCTTTGGAACTGACCTAATTAATATTGGTAGTCTTTCATGTAACACCTTGTAATCTGGCCACTTGGACAACTGGAAGTTATGTCTTTGCTGGCAAGTCTCTGCTCGTGCAGGTGCCCACAGCATCACCTGGGCCTCTATAAGTTGATCAAGTTCTGTCTGAAAAGGAATTCTCTGCATAGAAGATTGCTCAAGAATACCATTCCCTTGGTTTCCAGTTTAACTCAAGAGCCTAAGTCCAGATCTTTTCCCAGTCTTTAGTTCAAATTGCTGTTTTCCTCTTGGGGTGTGTATACCCAGACGTATTTTTGTGCAATGCTCATACCCCTTTTCACCCTTGATTTAGCTATGCTGTGCGACCCGTCTCACGTGACTTCTCATAAGATACAGTATGTATCTTTCTTTTAGCGTCCTCATAGTTTTTACAGATTAAATTATTTTTTGCGGGATACAAGTAACCACAACCCTGTCTACCAGGAGATGAAAACTTTGGTGTCTTGCGTACTGGCTTTAACATTAACCATCTCTACTGGAAGTACCTCTTCTGATGTATCCCAGGGTTGCAGCCTCAGTGGCTATCTCACCTTAATTAATTGCCATTTGCCCTCTGATAAAGACACCCATGTCCATTTGCTTTTCTGTTTTCATGTGAAGCAGCCCATGGATAATTTAGGGAATGGCTTTGAAGCTGGAAAGCAGAATCTCAACAGCCTGTTTTTCCAGAAGCTTTTTACTGTTTGAAGAACTTTCTCATGGATTTCTTGGGAAGGGCTGGCTTGGCTCCAGTTAGTTGACTGCTGTCTTTCCACAGCTGACTGGGTTTGCTTATTTCCTCTTTGTGGGCATTCCAAAAAAGAATTAGGAAAATCCTTTTCCACCTCTGGCTTCCAGCTTTTAATGTGTTTACTCTAATCAGACACAATTTGCATAATTTTGGGGGAAGGATCATATTCCAAGAAAACAATGTTGTAATTGCAGAAACCTTACCAGGCAGTGAGTGGCCTTTCATAACTTTTGTGCCTGCCAACCAATTTTGGCCAAGTTTGAGGGAGAAAGAGATGCATAAAATGTTGGCAGAGAAGAGACACGAGTAAGTGCTCATGAGAGACAGTCAGCCTTGTCTTCTCCTTCTCTTTGGGACCTGCTAGCTGGTGAACTCCTACACGTGGCTCAGAATCAGCCTGGTTGTGAGTTGAGGACGTATTGGAAAGCTCAAGACTTTTGTGAGTATTTTTAGTGAGAAGTGTGGAAGGGATTATCAAGAAAATGGAAGGAAGGGGAAAACCATATGCTGGGTGCTGGCAGATGATGTAGGACAAAAGTCTTATGAAAGCACGTTTCATTAGTTCTATTGCTTACAGAACTACTTGTTTGATATTGGGTTTTGCATTATTTTCCCTCTTACCAGGACTATATGCAGAACGTTCACGGGAAAGAAATAGACTTGCTGAGAACCACTGTGAAAGTCCCTGGGAAGAGGCCACCCCGAGCTACGTCAGCGTGTGCACCGATTTCCAGTCCCAAAACAAACGGCCTTTCCAAGGACATGAGCAGTTTACACATCTCGCCAAATTCAGGTAAGAGAATGCCATGCTAGGCAAAAAAAGTGAAGGACTGCATTTCCAATTGCCCATAGGCAATTGTCATGTGCTACTGGGATGGAGATGATACCTAGTAATAATTTACAAATCCAAATAACCACTGGTGTGTAACTTTTTAAGGCCTGACTGCTGATCTGTCCTCCATGAGATATTCTGTTTCTGAGTAACCTTCAACATCTGTCTCTTTATACTTGTTATCTTATACCTGCCAAAACCCTACATAGTGTCACAGAAATCAACATTTGTGAAGAATTGCTGCTGCCTTACAACTGATCTGTTAGGTCTAATACTTTGGAAAAACAGGAGATTTTTGGAAGGGCTTTTTTTGGCTTCCTGGTGGGATCCACAGCACTTCTTTCCACCTTTAGAAAGATGCATAATTTTGGACTTTCCAACAGCAAGATTCTTCTGTAGAAAGCTATTTTAGTTTGTTTATGGAAGTAGTTTATAGCTCCTTGTGAGCTCTAAACAAAGAAGTTTATTGTTCACTGAAGTGCTTGTCCATACAGCTAAATGGATTTAAAAAATTGCATTAAGGAAAGACATTTAAGACCATTTATCTTGTAAAACGCACAGCTTATACAAAGCTCATAATGGTATAGTGTTGGTATGAAAGTTTTGTCAGCATGTTTAGGATGGCATCCATAAAGTGCTGAGTGCCTTTTGCATTTATGATTAACGTAGACACCTCCAGCATGTGCCAACAAAACCATCCAAACGTACTGTTGTCCCTATGTAATATGCACTACACAGGTAGGATGAGCAACCACAGGAAGGAACTTGGTCACCCTGCTATTCAGGTGTCTTCTCTTGGATAGTAATAATTATCTTGTGCTTCCAGTCAAGATGCAATTCCCTGCGTTTTTGCAATGCACATTCCTCTGTTATTAGGGGAAGAGGGAGAAGGATTTTCCTTCCAACTGTGGATGCTGCTTGTTGAGATGAATGTTTAAAAAATGAAGGGGGGGGGGGGGGGGGGGAAAAGTGCCTTGTGGCTTTACAGTGGTGCCACTGAGCAGATACCCTGGAGATCTTGTGTGGCATGTTACATTAGTTTGGCTGGGGACTTGAAATGTCTGAAGCCATGATTTCCTCAGACTCTCTTTCAAGTTGTAACCTACCCCTCGAGAGGCACAAAGCTGGCATTGTCACTGGAAGAGTTCATAGGAGAAAATTATTCATGGTTGGTTTGTTTTTTCCATTTTGCTATTTAATTTAGATGAGTGGGGGGGGGGGTGTTTTTCCACATATTCTGTAATTTAGGGAAGAAAAGTGCTGGACTGAGTCAGTAAACCAGCGGTAAGACATTTAAATAAGAGATTTCTGCTTTTAAGACAGTTGAAATTCTATGATTCTATGAACACAGGCAAAAATTACTTGATTGCTCCAGAGAAGTACGTTTCAGAAAACATATTCAGAGATACATACTAATATAGAGCTTATAACATGGAATTTACATGTTATGGCATATGCCTTAGGTTGCCAGGTCAGAGGGAAACAGCTTGTACATGACTTTAATGAAATGTGCAATATTAGTTTTGTTTCAGGACTCTCTGCATGTATAATGCTTTTTTACATGAAACTGTGCAGTAGGCGGCTCTCTCTGGCAGTGGTGGTAGCCACTGTGAATATATCCCGGCTAGCCTGAGGTTTTATCGCACAGCAATTGCTTTAAAAGAGAAGAGTTAATTATGCTAGAAAGTGCAAATGCCTGGAAAACAGCTCTGCTTTTAGATAGTGTTTTTCAAACAACATGGTGGTAATAGTTGGAGCTGCTGTCCTCTCTTTTGGCTTCTTTATCATTGTGCTTAGAAATACTGAAAGACTTTTCTGTTGTTGATGTGTGGTTACCACAGCTCAAGAGATCTACTGTGGTTAAGTCTTAAAATAATTAATGCCCTTCTAATGTATGAGAGAGTTGTATCCAAGGGAAGTTGAACCTGATTGCTCTATCATTACCCACTTGAATACCTTCGTCTCCCCTCTCACGCAGCTGGGATGCTACACTGATCCTTCTTCAATTTTAAGCAAGTTCTTGAACTGCTTATCTTTGCATGGCGCTCGTCCCACAGATAAAGCAAGCGTTGACGTCTTAATTATATTACCCCTATAGCTGGCTGGAAGCATAACAGTTTTGAAGCATCTTTATAACTTGCTGGGGGAGGAGGTGAAGACAGGCTGGACTGAACAGCTTTACGCTCTACATGGCAGCCAGCCAGCCTGTTCATACCTTGCTACCTGCTGTCTCGTGCCCACTTTAGGCATCAGCGGGTATGGAAGGGGGATGTCTAAGGTTTTGGTGTGAGAGGAGGGTCAGTGAAGATGCGCACATCTCTGTAAGGTTATATTTCATTAGTTCAGCTGCATACACAGCGAGTAGTTTCAGACCTGCTGTAGTATTTTCCCTTGCACCATTGCTTCTGAAATCCAGGTCAGTGCATTCAGCGCATTATCAGCCATGGTATCTCTTCTTTGGGTTTCTTCTTCACAGAATTTGTTTCTTCTGAAGAAGCTGCCTTCATTGAATCTTTCTAACTTACAGGCCACATTTGAGGTTTGTCTGGTTTTTGCGTTACTGGAGAGAATGACCAGCAGCAGCAGGACAGACCTTTTTTAGAAAGCTGATTGATCCAAGCAGTGGTTACTCAGTTAAAAACAAAAGAAAGAACTGCTAATCAGTAAAGTATTACTTTAAAAAAAAAGAAATAAAAATGAAAAAAAAATAGTAGTACAACAAACTGGATCTGGGAAATAACTGTCAGCAGCTCAGCTGTGCATCAGTCCATATGTCACTCTCAATACTCTGGTGTTCAGGTAAGACTGAAGAGCTGCATTGCAGAGAGTGATTTTAAAATATTAGAGGAGTATTAGTATTGTAACAAAGACACTGTGACAAGCTGTTGCCTGGCTTGTTAGTCTGCACTTTCATGTGGTCAAGTATATTGACAGTGTTTTTTATGCAGAGGGTCACGGCTTCTGTTGGATGGGACACCCGTAGGTATTCAGCGCTCAGCTGCTGGAGCGCCAGGAGGACTTCTGGTATCTCTGCAGTTGTCTGTCATGCAACTGAAAACATTTGCAAATTATCCCTTGCAGGCTGTGGTGCTGTCTCAGAGCTTTTTCTCAGTTGTTAGTGCTGGCAAAATGTTGTCTCCATCTTGAGCGATGGTTTAAAATTGATCGCAGGGCTGAAATTGTCTGTTACTATGTTTTCATTGGGAGGTTTCTGTATATGGACCTGCTGTTCGGAGGAGGTTTGGACCAAGCACAGAAAGAATAGGCACTTGCTATTTTTATTTTTAGGCATGCAAATACACTGCATTCTCACTGCTTCACATGTTACATCTTCCCCAATACAGTGATGTTTTCTGTTCTTCTGTGCTTTTGCCAGTGCAGACTTGGTACCTGGAATAATATTCTCCATGCTTAGAAGTGAGGACAGTATTCCATTTAATTGTTTGATGTGGTCAGCAACAGACTAATTTTCCTTCTGCTGTTACATAATTGTCTACAGTTTAGTGAAAAAGCTAAGATATTAAAAGAATACCACTGCTCAATTAAAATGTCACGTTTAAGATTCCCCCTGGAAGTAGAATTCATCGTCTTTGCTTATACATGGTGATAGCACAGGCCCACTAAAAGCACTTCTCGGCTGAGATTACCTGTTTTCCACTAACTTGTGTTCCTAGAAATGTCTGAACTTATTTTCATTCAAGCATCAAAAACAAAAAAGTCAATGCATTTTTATGGTTGAAACAGTCAAATAATGCTTATCTTAAATGATGTCTTCGTTTGAAGACATCAATGGTCTGTTACTAAACACTGTTCAGAAGCTGCCCCCTAAGTATGGGTTTCAGTGCCAACTTTGCCGATAAATATATGTATTAGGTGTCTGTTTGATTGCCTGTAACTGACATGTTTTAAATTCATTCTTTCACAATTGCCCAACAGATAATTTTCTTTGTCTCTTAGTGGAATTTCTTGTATTTTGGGTAGATGCCAGTGCATCAGCTGGTCTGATAGGGAGGCAAAGCCTCTTGCCTATCAACTGGTGGGTTGTAAAATACGTGCCATGGGGATGCCATCTCAGAGATTGGTGCCCTTCAGCATAGGTGTCAGGGATAGCATGTGGACAGACTCGGAATAGCTTGGGTCAGGGAATAGGAGCAGTCATCTCACAAGAGGCACTTTGGGGACAGCTTTTCTCTTCTAGCTCCCACTTGATTTCTGAAGGGATGATCATTGATACCTTGTGTCTCTGCGAGGCAGGGCTTGCTGCTAGAAGGCACAACACTGTCCATAAGAGAGCTCAAAATTTAATTCAGTGTCTCTTCTAATCCCCACCTTGGTCTGTGAAGCAATACGGCAGCTTGAGCTCTTCTTTCTTATCACCTTCCTTCTCTAAAGCCTTCTTGGACCTAAGTGATGGCTTGCATCAAACACCTTCAGTCTCTTCCTCCCCCAAGTTTAAGCCTAGTCAAGATCTTCCCCAAGGTGCTTCCTGTAGCATTGCTATGAGAAGAATCAAAGGAATTAGACTAATCAGGGAGGTGTTGTGAATTCAAGAGGGATATACTCAGTTATTTGGTAATACGATTTATAACAGCCAAGCAGTAAGTGAAATTTCTATCTGCTAGATCTAGTTGATGTAGATGTCACATGCAGAAGAAAAAGTTTAAAAGCACGTCACTCCTAGCACGTTGAATTTAGTCGTGCTTTGCGGCACTTCTTGCCTGAACAAGATTGTTTTTCTGGTTTTAAAGACTGTTTGATAAATACAGACATATAATTATCATCTCTGTGACAGCTATCCAGATCTCTAAATATGTGTACATCCCAAATATCTGGAAGCAATATCTCTGGGAAATAATAATCTTAACAAAAAAAGCCAAGTTCTAGTCCTTCTTGAGAGTTTCCATTTCAGAGATCTAAAAAAAAAAATGCAGACCTATGTAAGAATTTATGAAAGAAAAAAA